ACAGCCCTATATCATCACAAGTTTCCCACAATGCATATTGTTTTGGAGCAATGTTTTCCAGTAATATGAAGATATTCAGTGCACAGAAATTAATGTATTAGCTCTTCAAAACACTATCCGAGGAGGGATTTACAGGTAGATCTTGAGATGTCTACTGTACACTACTTTATACAAAACATGCTGTGAACACATTTGTTTTCTCCTGTTTCCTATTTTATTTTATTTATTTATTTTATTTTACTTTATTTTGTTTTATTTTATTTTATTTTATTTTATTTTATTTTATTTTATTTTATTTTATTTTATTTTATTTTATTTTATTTTATTTTATTATTTTATTTTATTTATTTTATTTTATTTCTAATATATCAATCTGGGAGAAGCAGGTCTCAATCTTTTTTTTTTTTTTCTTTTTTTTTTCATTTTTTTAGCATGACTTTACAATTTGCATCATGTTCTATAAACCTTGCAATAGATTTTATTAGATCCTTCCATTCTATCCATTAATCGTTTCACAATGTATTGTCCGAGTCGACACCCAAACTGTTATTGGAAAAATTTTAATGTTCTTTACAAAAGTATAAAATATTTCTAATTGTTAAAAAGAAATATTAAGTCATCAGTACGTTTACTGGGATTGAAGTGTTTTCATTGACACGGAGATTATTTATTTCCACAATCATCTTTTCATGTTGAGTTAACAGAAATCAGACATTCTACTTAAGCTTTCAGTGTCTGCAACTTTGGAGTCATACAGATAATTTTTACTTATTTCTTTAATTTCTTCAGCTAACAAATCACACAGATCTCTTTAGCTTCCCAACCTGGTACGCCCCTCTGATTATTATCCTCTTCTGATAGTCCAGGCGGGCAGTGACGACATTGAAGACAGAAGCCTGAAGGCAATCAAAAGAGACTTTAGGGGGCTGGGACGGTTAGTGGACGGAGCGGGAGTGCAGGTAGTGTTTTCGTCCATCCCTACGTTGACAGGGAGGGGTACGGAGAGGACAAGGAAAGCCCACCTGTTAAACACGTGGCTCCGGGGCTGGTGCCAACGCAGAAATCTTGGGTTTTTCGACCATGGGGCAGTTTACTCAGAACCTGGTCTGATGGCCGTAGACGGGTCCCTATCCTTTAGGGGAAAAAGGATCCTTGGCCAGGAGCTGGCAGGGCTCATTGATAGGGCTTTAAACTAGGTAAGAAGGGGGATGGGGCTGAAGCAAGGATTGTTGGGGCTGTGCCAGGGGGAGCAATGGCAAGGCCGGAGGATAAGGTAAAGGCCCAGCTGAAGTGCATCTACACCAATGCACGCAGCATGGGTAACAAACAGGAGGAGCTGGAAGCCATCGTGCAGCGGGCAGGCTACGACTTGGTTGCCATCACGGAAACGTGGTGGGACCAGTCTCATGACTAGAGTGCTGTGATGCCTGGCTATAGGCTCTTCAGAAGGGACAGGCAGCACAGAAGGGGTGGCGGTGTGGCTCTCTATATTACAGAGTCTTTCGGTATTGTAGAACTCGAGGCTAGGAATGACAAGATCGAGTCCCTTTGGGTTAGGATCGGCAGGGACAACAAGGCTAGTGTCCTGGTCGGGGTCTGCTATAGACCGCCGAACCAGGATGAGGAGACGGATGAGGAATTCTACAGGCAGCTGACAGAAGTTGCGAAATCTTCAGCGCTTGTACTCGTGGGGGACTTCAACTTCCCTGACATATCCTGGAAGCACAACACAGCCCAGAGAAAGCAGTCTAGGAGGTTTCTGGAGAAAGTGGAAGATAGCTTCCTGACGCAGCTGATTAGTGAACCTACCAGGGGTGGTACCCCGCTAGACCTTCTCTTCACAAACAGAGAAGGACTGGTGGAGGATGTGATTGTCGGGAGCTGTCTTGGGCAGAGTGACCACGAAATGGTGGAGTTCACTATTCTTGGCGAGGCCAGGAAGGGAACCAGTAAAACAGCTGTATTGGACTTCCGGAGGGCTGACTTTGGGCTGCTCAGGACACTAGTTCGTGGAATCCCTTGGGAGGCGGTTCTGAAGGGCAGAGGGGTCCAGGAAGGCTGGGCGCTCTTCAAGAGGAAAATCCTAATGGCGCAGGAGCGGTCTGTCCCCATGTGCCCAAAGATGAGCCAGCGGGGAAGAAGACCAGCCTGGCTCAACAGAGAACTGTGGCTTGAGCTTAGGAGAAAAAAGAGGGTTTATAATCTTTGGAAAAGTGGGCAGGCCACTAGGGAGGACTATAAGGATGTAGTGAGGCTGTGCAGGGACAAAATTAGGAAGGCCAAAGCTCATCTGGAGCTCAATCTGGCTACTGCCGTTAAAGATAACAAAAAACGTTTTTATAAATACATCAACACAAAAAGGAGGACTAAGGAGAATCTCCATCCTTTACTGGATGCAGAGGGAAACTTAGTTACAAGAGATGAGGAAAAGGCGGAGGTGCTCAATGCCTTCTTCGCCTCAGTCTTTAGCGGCAATACTGGTTGTTCTCTGGATACCCAGTTCCCTGAGCTGGTGGAAGGGGAGGGGAGCAGGATGTGGCCCTCACCATCCACGAAGAACTGGTTGGTGACCTGCTACGGCACTTGGATGTGCACAAGTCGATGGGGCCGGATGGGATCCACCCGAGGGTACTGAGAGAACTGGCAGAGGAGCTGGCCAAGCCCCTATCCATCATTTATCAGCAGTCCTGGCTATTGGGGGAGGTCCCAGCTGACTGGCAGCTAGCAAATGTGACGCCCATCTACAAGAAGGGCCGGAGGGCTGACCTGGGGAACTACAGGCCTGTCAGTTTGACCTCAGTACCAGGGAAGCTCATGGAGCAGATCCTCTTGAGAGTCATCATGCGGCACTTGAAGGGCAAGCAGGCGATCAGGCCCAGTCAGCATGGGTTTATGGAAGGCAGATCCTGCTTGACGAACCTGATCTCCTTCTATGACAAAGTGACGCGCTGGGTGGACGAGGGAAAGGCTGTGGATGTGGTCTACCTTGACTTCAGCAAGGCTTTTGACACCGTCTCCCACAGCATTCTCCTCAAGAAACTGGTGCTCTTGGCTTGGACTGGTGCACGCTTCGTTGGGTTAGAAACTGGCTGGATAGCCGGGCCCAAAGAGTCGTGGTAAATGGAGTCAAGTCCAGTTGGAGGCCAGTCACTAGTGGCGTCCCTCAGGGCTCGGTGCTGGGGCCGGTCCTCTTTAACATCTTCATCAATGATCTGGACGAGGGCATTGAGTGCACCCTCAGTAAGTTTGCAGATGACACCAAGTTAGGTGCATGTGTCAATCTGCTCGAGGGTAGGAAGTCTCTGCAGGAGGATCTGGACAGGCTGCACCGATGGGCTGAGGTCAACTGCATGAAGTTTAACAAGGCCAAGTGCCGGGTCCTGCACCTGGGGCGCAATAACCCCAAGCAGAGCTACAGGCTGGGAGATGAGTGGTTGGAGAGCTGCCAGGCAGAGAAGGACCTGGGAGTGATGGTGGACAGTCGGCTGAATATGAGCCAGCAGTGTGCTCAGGTGGCCAAGAAGGCCAACGGCATCCTGGCTTGCATAAGAAGCAGTGTGACCAGCAGGGCTAGGGAAGTGATCGTCCCCCTGTACTCGGCTCTGGTGAGGCCGCACCTCGAGTACTGCGTTCAGTTTTGGGATCCTCGCTACAAGAAGGACATGGAGGTGCTTGAGCGGGTCCAAAGAAGGGCGACGAAGCTGGTGAGGGGCCTGGAGAACAAGTCCTACGAGGAGCGGCTGAAGGAGCTGGGCTTGTTCAGCCTGGAGAAGAGGAGGCTCAGGGGCAACCTTATTGCTCTCTACAGATACCTTAAAGGAGGCTGTAGTGAGGTGGGGGTTGGCCTGTTCTCCCACGTGCCTGGTGACAGGACAAGGGGGAATAGGCTTAAGTTGTGCCAGGGGAGTTTTAGGTTAGATGTTAGGAAGAACTTCTTTACTGAAAGGGTTGTTAGGCACTGGAACGGGCTGCCCAGGGAGGTGGTGGAGTCACCATCCCTGGAAGTCTTCAAATGATGTTTAGATGTAGAGCTTAGGGATATGGTTTAGTGGGGACTGTTAGTGTTAGGTTAGAGGTTGGACTCGATGATCTTGAGGTCTCTTCCAACCTAGAAATTCTGTGTGTGTGATTCTTTAAAATAGAATATATTTATATTAAAATATATATAATATTAGTTATACATTCATAATTTAAAAAAATATAATTGTATAACATATTTTGTTTTAATTGCACATGTTAATGGAGGAAAAAAAAGAAATAGTAGTAGTAGTAGTAGTTACTTTTTTAATGCAATAGTACCTACTAAGTAAGTACCAATAAGAGAGTTACTGTAATTTCTCCATGCATGTTGTGCTGCTGCTCACATATTCGGGTAATTTGATTTGAAAGGTATATGAATTTTGATCCTTCCTCAGTGTGCAGATAAATCTGGCTCTTTTACAAAGTGAGCAGCAGTATAATTGAAAAGCATTGTCGCACTTATATACATTGTCTTTCAAGTAAATTTTGTCATTATATTGGTTACAGTCCTAAAGACTCAGATCTCAGTCTAGAATCAGATCCTTTGGTTTCAGATTTTACTTTAAAATCAATAGACATTCAGAGGCTAAAACTATAGTACAATATTCACCACGAGAATGTGAGCAGAGATATTTGGGAAGGAAAAATTAGATGAGGAACATGTTTTGTTTTGTTTTGTTTTTAAATGCAGAATGTACTGTATTAAGATCTCTGGAAACAAAGGGACTAAGCTGCACTCTTTAATTTTTATTTTATTTTTATTTTTAACAGTGTTTACTCGTGTATTTAATGTTCTTTACATTTCTGGAAAAGAGGAATATTAATTTCAGTAATCCATAACATGGCAAAATCTTTGGACAGACTTGAGTAAAACAAACCTTACATTTAGGAAATATCAGAAGCTGATACAGATCTAGGTTTATGCTCTTTCATGCATTCACCTAGCTGTGTACTTGCTCTTTACCAGGTATTTATTCTACTTTTTTTTTTTTGGGGGGGGCGGGGGGAGCCTTAATTGGCATAAACTTTCATATTGGTTGGATCCTTGCTCTATGTAAGGAAATATATATGCATCTTTATACAGATATCTATAATCCCCCCTCAGAAAAACCCTACAGTTTCATTAATACACTTTTCTAGCATCACAAATATTTGTAAACTATTACTGTCCTTTATTTCTAAACTGTCACCCTACAGCATAAATTGACAATACTGAGTACAACTGTATATTTCCATTTTATAATCTGCAGAATTCCCTGTATGTAGCCAGTGCCATTTTCCTTCACCTTTTGCAATTAAATCAAAATTATTCATTATTTCAATTTATATATTCCATGCAGATGGGGCAGATCCATCTGCACACCACAATAGAAGCCCTAAAATCATACTAACTATTTTGAATTTCTTACACCCAGTTAGGGAAAAGAAATGTTTATAAGGTAGATTTATCAGAGAGTTGTTTTAAGTATTATAGTTTTAGTTATTAGAAAGGTGTTTTCAACTTTGTACTGCCAGTTCTGCTACTCTGCTAAAGAACATCTACATCTAAAATAATCTATTTTGCAATCAAAATTAAATTGTAGAAAGACAGAAAATAATGGGAAGGAGGTCTGCAAATATACTGCCAACATGATTGTCAAATACTGGTATTTAGCCAAAGGTTTCATAAAGTAGTTTTAGCCAAAGTAGTTTCATAAAGTAGTTTTAATGCCCAGATTAGTTACTAAAATGGCTAAAAATTGTTGGCAGATTTTTTTCACTTTAAAATAATCTGGGGCACATTAGGAAGTCCAAAAAAGTGGGGATTCACTAACTGCTGTCAGGAAAAATCATTGCAACCACGTCATAAATATTATACTCTAAGCAAATCTCTCTTAGAGATTCGAGCACATAGGAATCCACTTAGTCAAAATCCCAGCTAAGGCATGTAGGTCTGCATGATGAGAATACTATATTTTTTTTATAAATTATGACCTTTCTTATTAATATTTATTCATTCATAGAAATATATTTTTTTTTTCCATCAAAATCCAGCAGACTTGAGCCTTCTTCAGTGAGGCTTTAAAACCTGCAGGCTGACTCCAGATAATCCCAAACTGAAGTAAACATTCCAACTTCAGTGTACCATTAGGACTAATAAGGTTCCCTTTAAAATTTTACCCAACTGTTCCTTCAGTTCTTCTGGTTCAGTGACTGTAGTCCTGCCACAACTACCTACACTATCTTCATCTAGAGATGTCCCAGAAGACTAATCAACAAACAATGGTGACATCTCTCTGCCTACTAAACTGAAAGCAATGCACCTATATTAAGCTGGCTCAAATCCAAGCCTGATTCCCATTTGGAATACAAATGATTTCATGTGACATTGCCTATCTATTTAAAGCTGGTTCACATACTAATTCCCACACAAAAAACACTGGTTTGTTCAATTCTGATAAAGTATGTATTTTTGTTTTTAAAACAGTTAACCAAATATAAAATACCTAAAAGCCCTCTCCACCTCTATCTGACTAGATCTGTACATAATGTTGTTACAGAATTTGAACTGACAGAGACATGCTTCATCACTTTTATCACTTGATCTCCCAAGTTTATTTTGGTTCTGATGCGGCTTATCTCTATTTTCTTGCATGCAGCTGAAACATGTTGAAGTGGCATATGTGCCTCTCATGCGTTTATCATCTGGGTAAACTGGTGGGAGTTCCTTGTTGACGTGACAAGAGTGCACATATCCCTGACTGTTTTGTTCAGTGTGTTATTTACTGCGTTAGGAAGATTCTATGTACAAAACAATAAAACCACCTCTCAAAGTCAAAAACAGTATCACATTAATGTGGCTCCATACAGTTTAAAGCAGAATGTCTTGACACAGTTGGTATTGGCATAACATGACCTGTTATGCACTATTACTATTTGTCCCCTTTCCAAAAGCTCTGCTGAGATTTTACCTAAAAACAAGGTAGTAGCCACTGTGCTCCATGGCCTCTAGTAATTACTCAGCTTTTAATATCTCAGGTTTCCTGTTGTGCAGAAAATCTGCCTTTCTTATTAAACTCACAGAGCTGTTTTGGGTGTTGGTGCATTCTTGCAAAATTATGTTAGAGAAAGAGAAATGAAGATTCTTAACTCAAATTAAATAGCTCATGCCATGTCCTGAAGTACTTCTCAGTATTAATGTACCATTGCATGCTCTTATGTATTTCTGTCTAAGCACCTACAGTTTCATTCTTCTTAAATTCAGAAGTAACGTCGGTCATTAATTGCCCTTATCCTCTCAACACATCCATGAGGAGAAAAAAATGTAACCTTTGTTTTCCCATTGGAACAAAGACACCACAAACTCTGCTCAAGACCTCTCATTCTTTGGCAATAAGGTACTGTTGTATCTTTGAAGATTATGGCTTAAGAAAAATAATACCCAGTATTGCAGAGTTACTTCTGAGATGTCCGGCTGCCCAGCAAAATTCATACTTCACATCCGGTTCCAAAAAATCCAAACAAAGTATTTGAATGGGTACATATCTGCCACCAGGATGCACAGATTATATTTAGATAGGCAGAGACACCACCACTTATACCAGGCAAAGAAAGGGATAATCCTAAATCTCATTCCCAAAGGCAAAGTATTTCTCAGCCATGACTGACACATACAAATCACTAAGCCAAGACAGCCTGAACACAGAGACTCTTCCCAGTTCAAATGGCTCTGTATAGGCTGATTTTTTTCAAATCTCTGCTTAGCCTTGCAAGGATCACAGATTCAAAACCAAGTCTTTCATCTCCAAGAATGGAGATCTCTGATACAGCCTGGTCAAGTTCCTTACTGAAGCACCCATAGAAATACACACTTTCCCAGTTTTTCCTGAATGCAAAAAATACAACAGCGATACCGACTGTCTTTGCTAGCTGTTTAGTCAATTCTTTTCTGGCCTAAGCATTGCCTGCATCCAACCACTATTCTAATTAAGAAGAATTTTTAATTGTTATTTTCTTTTTGTTTTTATCTCTGCCTATTTTCCCATGAGATTGTTGTAACATAAAGTTAAATTCCAGTTTCATAATGAGCCAGATTCTTGGTCCTAGATGTGATTTTCTTGTCAATGCAAACAGACTTTGGGGGAAAGGTAGCCTCATGCCGCAGAAAGTCACCACTAACTCTTGCTAACATATAGTACAGGTAATGTCAAAAGATCCAACAGTTATTAATCTGGTTCCCTATTAATGCACACAATGGTTAAAAACTGGATGCTGTGCTTGCTTTTTTCTTTACAAACACTAGCAGTGTTTCTACAGATTTAACCACCAAGGCTGCACTAAATTAGTGATGTCTTTTCCCATGCAATGTTTGAGCTTATCTGCCCTTCTATCAAATGTATTAAAAAAAAAATGCAAGATCCTACTTAGTATGGGACAGACATGCACACGCGCACATACACAGACAGATTATATTTCCATATCCAAAGTGCAGAGCAGATGTAGAATCCTTCCCCTACCCCAGTACATGCACATTAAGGAAAATTCACTGTTCTTTAAATCTTACATTTCTTACACACTTTAAAACCTTCACTGTAGGTTTTATTTTAAAATTAAACAAAATCCATTTAAACATAGCATTTGTTTAAAGATATATTTAGCAGTAAGATGTCATCAATGTGACAGTACTCCAATTATTTCCTAGGTCCATCTGTTTTATACTGAATTAGACTGGTTCATACCTATCAGGTGACTAGCTGATTAGTTGAACGTGGTTTCAAATGAGCCAGAACTGGACAAGAACTTGCATGAAATAAGGCAATCATATTGAAATAAACATGTTTATGAAAAAGTAAGAATTTTTACTATATGTTTCCAAATAACTGTTTTGCTTTTAAACTTATTTAGATTTAAAATGAAATGAGTTAAATGAAACTCCATGAAAGCACAAATAAAATTATTTGGTTCTGGCCACACAAAATGGTTGATGAGTCTTTTGGTTCAAATGAATGTTTGTGTTTTTTGTGTGTTTTGTTTTTTTGTTTGTTGTTTTGTTTTGTTTTTTGTTTGTTTGTTTATTTTCTTTTGTTCACCACTGGTTTTGGAGGACAAGAACTTTTTAATACGGAAAACAATAGTTAAGTTGAAAAGTAAAAGAAAATCTTTAGTATATATTTTGCTCTTCTTTTACAAATAGCAATTTTCTATTAGGTTCCAGAGAATGAAAAAAAAAAAAAAAAAAAAAAGGAAAAATACACAGGAAACACCTTATGAAATGAATCATTCTACCACATAGGGTAATGGAAAAACAACCCAGCATGTTCAACTCAACTCTTGTGAAAGGATGTGAAAACAAAACAATACAGCTACAGGTGTCCTTTATGTATCTACACAATTCTATAATGGGAGCGCTTCTAATTTGATTCAGACCTGGAAAACACTCCACATACAGACAGACTTCAGACACCAGGCCAGAATCTTAAAGGAGAAAATCTAACTAGAGTAGATATAAAAGACCATTACTTTTCCATTCAAACTATATTTTATTTATCTGTATCAGGTATAGGAAAACAGTTACTTGTAACAGATTTGGGTCACTTATAACAGAAGAGCTTTCGGAAGCCATTCTTGAAATGACAGAGAAGAAAGATTTATAATACAAACACAGATTTTTATTATTATTATTATTATTTTGGCCATGTTTATTTAAATTGTTACATAGGAATAGCTTTATATAATAAGACTTTTTAGTGGATTTTTCTTCTCTTTGCTCCTATGTCTATTCCAAGCTATGTTAATACTTCTTTTGATGTTCATACTTCAATTTCCACACTCTTCATGGGATGAAAATTGCTTTATGTACAAAATCATCCTCTGAAAGGCACCTCAATAAACATCACACCTTTGTGTTTATTTGTAGGATGTCACTTCCACAAACTGAAGTGAGAACAGGGAATTTAAGTGAACACAAGTCATCAAGAATAAGAATTATAAAAGTGAAAAATAAAGAGTCTGGTATATCAAAGTGTCTTCCTTAGTGCATTTACAACCAACAAATATCCTCTTGCAGTTTTTCTGTAAGTAAGAACTGTATCCTTCCCAGAGTTTGTAAGCCATAGAATTCCAACTAACTATGCTCAAAGGCATTTTCTAAGTTATTTTATAATGTGGCATGACTTTTCTCCTGTGTGAATAGTCACTGGACACATAAATTATTCCATTTGCCAATACAATATTTCCAGTTCTTGATAATGATGTTTGTAACTATCTTCTAGAAAAGTTGCCACTTGTTTACATATCCACATTCAGTTCCTTTGCTCATGATCTTCCATCCAAATCGCAAAGTTCACAGATGAAAACCTCAGGTGTCCTGAATGAAAACTCAAGAAATATCACCTCCCCAATAGTTAATGTCATACTGTGTGTACATACACTTACATACAGTTTTGAAAAACTTAGTTTACAAAACAGGTTTATCCATGGGAAAGTAACTTTTTCTCTCTTGCAGCTAAGGGGTCCATTTGCTTGGAGACTCCCCTGTTTCTGAGAATTGCCTGTGAATTCCAAGATGATGAGACCTGATGGTAGTAGAGAGCTTTGCACCAGCAACACCAATGGCCAAGCTCAGAAGCACTATTTTTGGCAGAAGTAGTTGTTTACAGAAGCACTGCCTCTATCTCAGCATTGCGCAGGTTCCATTTTTGCAGATCTGAAATCTTTATGTTGAGTTTGTCTTTCTGTCCTCCTTTCTTAGCTTTTTGTTTGTTTGTTTGTTTGTTGTTTTTTGGTTGTGGTTTGTTGTTGGTTTTTTGTTTTTTTTTGGAAGAAGGAAATGGGAAAAAGAAAGCCCAAGGGAACAACTTATGCCAGGATATCACTTCTCTTACTGCACCATACTACCAGTGTTATCATGGCACATGTTAACATGACTGGGATCAAGATCAGAGTTATGAGAATTTCATCTGGCGGATCTTCCCAGAGAACATCTTCTGAAGTACAGTTTAAAAAGAATTGTTTATGAATTCTAGTGATAAAGCCCTCTACAAGGGGGTTTGGCCAAAAGCAACTTGCGTAGAAGGCTTCATGTTCTGTGCACTGCGTAAAGATATCGTAATACCTAGGAGAAGAAGAAAATGAAGAGAAATTTAAATAGAACACATATGTATATTATATTTACAGAAACCAAAAATGAGTGCAATCTGTAAGGTTGGGTCTACCATGTAGATATTCTGCTGAAGTAACTTTAATGGAGACTGTGGGTATCAAACACAACATAATGAGCCAGAGGGAGAACTGACTAACTTGTACTCATACAACCAAGAGATTTCATATGAAATACTTAGCTTCTGGATAGACAGTGATCAAAACCCTGTCTTTTGGGTACAGTTACTACAGCTGGACCTCCTAAAGTCATTTAAGCACTGCAGAATTAGAACCCCTCAACAGAAACATCTACAGTATCATTAAAAAACATGCACACAAATGTGGCATGAACAGGACTTTTTGAGCAAAATATGCATAATTTGTGCGTCATCTATCACTGGACATGAGTTTGTGGCAACAGTGATGATATGATGTTGGAATTTAGCCACAGCATACATTACTGTGTAATAATTTCAGTTCTGTTGCACCCCAAGGCAGCAAGAAGACAATGGGAAAATAAACACACAAAAAAGTCAGATTTTGACAACCTTTATCTTTGACAACCTTCTCAACTCCAGCAAACGCCCAACAGGAAAAAAAAAAAATCATTTCTCTTTATGTATGTTCTCAATACTCATGAAAGATTGGGAACCCCTTGTAATTACTTTTTTTTTTTCAACACAGCATGTGTTGAAACTTACTTTTAGAGGGATTACTCGTATTTATGAGAAATGGCTCCCCCTCTTAGTAAAAAAAATAATAATAATAACAAACAATTAGCCCAAACGAGTAATTGAATGGGTTTTGTCGTGTTATTGTAAGCCAAAAAAAATATAAAAATCAGGAAGCAAATGGAGTATGGGGGAAGAGATCAGAAATTAAGAAGATGAAGAGCTTCTGGTCAGTACATGAATAGGGGAAGAAATAATTTTATATATATCTTTCAGTCTTATGTGACTCAGTAAACTCACTTCAAAGGGAAAGAAAAAATAGAAAGGAAAGAACAAGAAACCACATGATACCTCAAGGGATAGCATTCTGTATTATTATTTGAAAGCCCTACCCTCTCTTTTAGTATGCTTAAATAAGGTAACTCTTGATGAATTACTCTTTCTTACATCAAGTATCACTGGGGACAGATGTTGACTCGATCCTTTGCTATGAAGTAGTGGAGGAGAGATATTCAGTGTCTGGGTAAGACTGAAGATGCCAGTCTCTAAGGAGAAAGGGGTCTGCCTGCCCCTGCTACAAGAGCACAAAATGGGAATACAGGCTGCACAGTAACATTCTACAAGAAGGAAAAGAGGCCTCACAGGAAGTTTCTTCTGCAGCCCCATTTTCATTCTTGTGGAGTTTGAGTTTATACTGGTATAGTCTCACAAGTCCACAACTTGATGCTCTGTCACGCAGATGCATACATGCACAGTGTATGTATATTTTTAAGCAAAGCAACTAGAACGGAAGCTTTTGTGACAAGGTCAGCAGCCACAGCCAAAAAGAAAAACAGGAAATAAGCTAAAAATAAAACACAAATATTAGCTGTTTGTTATTTTATTAGTGCCATTCTTCCATGTGACCCCATTGCATCCATTCTCTTTGTTCTTGGACTAAATTAGAATCTAAAGATGTCTAGCTGAATATGGAAGAGACAGTCCCAGAGGACCTGAAATAAAATACATTTAAGGGCATGTCTATGAGGATTGACGGACTACAATGTCGACATGGCAGAGCTAGCATCGAGTTGCCCAGACAGGTCAATGTTCTGTCTAGCACAGACACCTGGCAGGGCTCCAGAGAGCACTAGGCTCTGTTCCAGCCCTGTTCTGTGCCATGCACTTGCAAGCAAGCCTGTTCCACCAAAACTGCTCCAGCTCCTTGCTGCCACAGCCACCTCAGTTTGCCTGTCTGCTTGTGTAGAGTAACAAAAACAACAAATCCAGGTAACTTGCAGACTTCACAGAAATGGACCCTAAACCAAGATTTCATGATGCTTTTTTTTTTTGCTTTTTTTTTTTTTTTTCCTGGATGGTCATAAAGTGGTGTAGGAAGTTCACTACTCTTCCACAAATTCTTTGTTTGCTTTTTTGTTTTTTTTTTTGTTTTTTTTTTTTTGGTTTGTTTTTCTTAAATGTTAGATGGTGTAATCAATTATATTTCCCACTGATTTTGCACTTCAAGCCCAAACATAGCCAGAAAAATCTGCTTAAGTGATGCCAAAAGGCCAGATAAAAATAATTTGGGAGTTATATTATATTGAAGGAATGATTCCCTAAGAGACAAAATAGAATATAAACATTATCTTAATAGTTTGAATTCCTCACAACTTTCTCTTAATACTCTCTCTTAAAATAAAAAGTTTACCTGCATTGTAACTCTTTTTCCTTTCAATTGTAGAATGTGAATAAGACAAAAATTCAGCTATTTGAGAACTATGTGTCTGATAGTAAAGCTCAATTCACTCAAATGTTGGTGCAATTTAGCAATTTAGAGCTTATACACTACAATAGAAAGCTCACATTTTAACAAAAAAAATCTCTGCATGGTACTGTGTAACAGCTGCTTTATAAGGGAGCAACTGAACTCTAATTACAATAGCATGGGCATTTTGTAGCTGATCAATTAGTTTGCAAGTGTTTTTTTGTTTGTTTAATAAATATTTAATGCAAATTTTATTTTCTTATGCTTCATTGTCTTATGCTTTATGTAATTCCCTTTATTCAAATTGTAAAGGCTAGAGTAGGAAAACCATTCTTTCTGTAAAAAAACAAAAAATGCCTATCACAATGAAATTCTGGCCTGACTGGAGGTACTTCAATACAAATACATAAAAATTACACACTTTGTGAAAGGAAAAGAAAAATGCAATTTTCTACTTATTCCCAGAACAAGTAATTGGAAAGCAGTACAGTAGTACAAGCTCCAATACTTCACATCTCAGATTATAAAGATGTGTGGGAAGGCTATTATTCTCTGAGCTGAGCCACATTTTCATCTCTTTCAGGCTAGCTACAAAGACCCTCAGAAAATTAACCCTCTGAGTTAATACTCAGAAAAGGTATATTCACTGGGAGCCATATCACAAGCTTTGTGAGTAGTGGGTTGAAAAATGAATATAGCCATGAGTTTCAGCTCAGTTTACTAGGCCGCTACTGAAGAACAAAAACTAAGCATAGTCTGTGCACTGTGATTCATATAAAGATATGATTTCCACTGGTATGCTCAGGAGAATCACTATAAATTTTATTAAGGAACCAACTACTTGTTCATAATGCATATTATTTAAAATACTCACTTTCAAAGAACTAAAAAAAAAAACAAAACACACACTTAAATGCTCTTTGAAGCTCTCTCTGAGCTGTAAAACAACTGTCTAAAATATTTAAAGTGTTCTAGAAAAATACTATAATTTTCAGAGTTCAAATACTTTTTCCCCAGTACTTTACGTTTCCACTTAAACAGATAGTAAAAATCACATGGTTAGTTTTTTGTAAATATATATATATGTTTATATTTTATAAATAACCAAGATATATAAATCACAGAATCACAGAATTTTCTATGTTGGAAGAGACCTCAAGATCATCGAGTCCAACCTCTGACCTAACACTAACAGTCCCCGCTAAACTATATCCCTAAGCTCTACATCTAAACATCTTTTAAAGACCTCCAGGGATGGTGACTCCACCACTTCCCTGGGCAGCCTGTTCCAATGCCCTTTCGGTAAAGAAGTTCTTCCTAACATCCAACCTAAAACTCCCCTGGCACAACTTAAGCCTATTCCCCCTTGTCCTGTCACCAGGCACATGGGAGAACAGGCCAACCCCCACCTCGCTAGAGCCTCCTTTGAGGTACCTGTAGAGAGCAATAAGGTCGCCCCTGAGCCTCCTCTTCTCCAGGCTGAACAAGCCCAGCTCCTTCAGCCGCTCCTCGTAGGACTTGTTCTCCAGGCCCCTCACCAGCTTCTCAGCCCTTCTATGGACCCGCTCAAGCACCTCAATGTCCTTCTTGTAGCGAGGGGCCCAAAACTGAACACAGTACTCGAGGTGCGGCCTCACCAGAGCCGAGTACAGGGGGACGATCACTTCCCTAGCCCTGCTGGTCACACTGCTTCTTATGCAAGCCAGGATGCCGTTGGCCTTCTTGACCACCTGAGCACACTGATGGCTCATATTCAGCCGACTATCAACCATCACTCCCAGGTCCTTCTCTGCCTGGCAGCTCTCCAACCACTCATCTCCCAGCCTGTAGCTCTGCTTGGGGTTATTGCACCCCAGGTGCAGGATCTGGCACTTGGCCTTGTTGAACTTCATGCAGTTGGCCTTAGCCCATCGGTCCAGCCTGTCCAGATCCTCCTGCAGAGACTTCCTACCCTCGAGCAGATTGACACATGCACCTCATTTGGTGTCATGTGCAAACTTACTGAGGGTGCACTCAATGCCCTCATCCAGATCATCGATGAAGATGTTAAAGAGGACCGGCCCCAGCACCGAGCCCTGGGGAATGCCACTAGTGACCGGCCTCCAACTGGACTTGACTCCATTTACCACGACTCTTTGGGCTCGGCTATCCATCCAGTTTCTAACCCAACAAAGCGTGCACCAGTCCAAGCCAAGAGCAGCCAGTTTCTTGAGGAGAATGCTGTGGGAGACGGTGTCAAAAGCCTTGCTGAAGTCAAGGTAGACCACATCCACAGCCTTTCCCTCGTCCACCCAGCGCGTCACTTGTCATAGAAGGAGATCAGGTTCGTCAAGCAGGATCTGCCTTCCATAAACCCATGCTGACTGGGCCTGATCGCCTGCTTGCCCTGCAAGTGCTGTGTGATGACTCTCAAGAGGATCTGCTCCATGAGCTTCCCTGGCACTGAGGTCAAACTGACAAGCTTATAGTTCCCCGGGTCTGCCCTCCGGCCCTTCTTGTAGATGGGCGTCACGTTTGCTAGCCACCAGTCAACTGGGACCTCCCCCAATAGCCAGG